GGCTATAATTTTCTTATCTTTCGTGATATTTTCTTAAAATTAGCAAAATTGATAAATGAATATATGCTAAATAAAATGTTGAAAAGAGTTTGTCATTATCTTAATTACTTTCTATAATATTTACAATCAAAATTGATTATAATTTGATACTCATTTTGCATTTGGAATTGTAATGTTTCTGTTCACAAAATCTGCTCTAATTATAAATTACGAAATTAGATTGTTTTGAATTTATGTACACCTGTTACTAATAAAATGATCTACACAATGACAGCTGGTTTGCTTAATTACAATTAATACTTTTGATGATACAGGATGTAAAAATAAAAATTTATAGTTTTTTGCAATTTTGCTTATTTTGTGTGCTTTGAATTGTTTATAACATAAATTTTGCAATAAATCAATTAGTATAGATAGATAATTAATCTGGTTATCAGATGAAGCAAAAATATTGTTGATAAATTGATTACTTTTTAAGTTATTGCGTCTCAAAGTCACAAAATATAAAAAAAATTGAAAACTTTTTCATTTTTACTAAAATTGCAGTAATTTTCAACAATTATTACAAAAATCCGCGTTAATCATTCAAAAAATCCTACAACAAGCCATATTTTCAACATAACCTTAAATTTTTCATAACCTCAAATATATTACCTGTCAATTTTCCATAATTTCAACTTCCGCTTCACAAATTTTATCACTAAAAACACGATATAATCTAACATATTGCTTCAACCATTTAACTTTATGTAAAGTTTACTTGTAGTTGACAAACGAAACCGGACGTATCATCTAGTAACTTAATTCCCTGCATGTTTAGTCCCCATCCGCTCATTTTTTGTCCGTTTTCGTCGGTTTGTCTACTTTTTGTGTACTTTTTGTAGCTTTTACTCATAATACCGGGTTCAATGCTCAACCACACTCAACCACACTCAACTACACTCAACTATACTCAGCCACACGCTGTAAATTTCGCATCCGTTTCCATTTCAGCCAGTTTTCCTCTTTTTTGACATTATTGGCGCGCTGCTAGTCACGCCTCGTGCGCTTCCATCACGATGTTGTTAACTACAACTCGTATTCCGCATACAGTCACGTCATGTCATGCTTAACGGCTTCATGATCAACGGATCAGGCGATCAGATCAACATCAAATACTCACCGAATGTAAAACATGTAAAAAATTGAAGAATAAAATGGACTACGTGCGGTATTGTGCGCGATCACGATCGCATTCATGAAATGTGTGCATGTTATTCGTTTTGCATGACTTCTTTTGCATGTGGCGATGATGATGATGATGATGGCGTGATTGTAATTTACCACAAGCGCACACAACGCACGCACGCACTGGATCATAAATCAATGGAGGAATAGAAGTGGTAATATGAATGCAATTTTTTGTTTTTAATTAGTTTTTTAGTGAATGTTTTTGTAGGTAGAATGTTAAATATGTTTTTGTGGATTAAATTTGTGCTAGTTTTGTGTTGCGTATTTAGATTGTAATGAAACTTGGCACAATTGTTACTAATAAGATTATCTAAACAATGGTATGTGATTTGGTTAAGTATAATTATTACTTTTGATTATATAGAGTGTTAAAGTAAAATTTTATTTTTTTTGTAAATTTTTCGAAAAATTGTTATAACTCATTGTTTATAACAATAAATTTTAATAAAATTAGTATAGTGTAAAGGTAATTAGTTATACTATACGGTGGAATTTCAATTTTGTTGATTGATTGTTTAGTTTTTGAGTTACGGCGTCTTAAAGTCAAAATTTATTCACAAAAATGCAAATTAAATTAAAAAAAATACAAGTTTTCGTAAAAATGCTATAATTATTTCATCTTTGGTGATATTTTCTTGAAATTAGCAAAATTGATAAAGGAATATATGATAAATAAATGGTTAAAAAGATTTTGTGATTACCTCAATTACTTTTTGTAATATTTACAATCAAAATTTATTATAATTTGATATTTATTTTGCATCTTGAACTGTAATGTTTCTGTTTACAAAATATGCTCTAATTATAAATTACGAAATCAGATTGTCTTGAAATTAAGTACACTTGTTATTAATAAGATTACCTAAAGAATGGCGGCTGGTTTGTTTAATTATAATTATTACTTTTGATGATACAGGATGTTAAATAAAAATTTAATTTTTTTTTAAATTTCTCGCATATTTTGTTGATTTTATATTGTTTATAATGTAAATTTTATATTAATATTATTAGAAAAGATAGATAATTAACCTAGTTATCAGATAAAGCAAAAATATTGTTGAAAAATTGATTACTTTGTGAGTTATTGCGCCTCAAAGTCAAAAAATGCAAAAAAAATTTAAAACTTTTAAATTTTTTACTAAAAATGTTGTAATTTTAATAATTTTAGTCAAATTTATAAACAATTTTTACTACTTACTAACAAATACCTCTCTGTTATATTTATTTACTAAAAATACCAACTATAGAATTTTTTTTTAAATTATTTAACATTTTTCAATTTCAATTTACTTTCTGATTCCGATAACTCCTGCCTGCAATTGTGATTATAAATTGTTGCAAATTTACAACATCGATCCAAAAAACAATCGCATAACAATAGAATAGCAATGCTCGCATTTCGTACGAGTCTATCAATTAAGGAATTGCTTTACGCTCACGCCTGCCAAGCCAAGCATGGACTAATAAAACAGCAACACAGCTGAAATCAACTAAAGTAAAGTGAAGTAAAGTGAAGTAAAGCAGGCCCAATAATAGTGTTATGTAAGCGCGGTAATAAACAATCTAACAATCCGACAACGAACAATCAACAAACTTGAGCAAGATGCGAACGCTCCAACGCTCACATTCGAAGCAAAAATTTGTGAAAATTTTATACGAAAATTAACAAATGGCAAATGGCAAATTGGATGGAATAATTCATAATGCGATTGTTTTAGTTTTTTATGAATAAGTTGTAAAATAATTGTGATATTGTTATGATTGTTTCTAGAATTGAAAGAGTATTAAATTTGATGTATGATTATGAAAAGAATTTGTTAATTTGGGTGTTATGTAAAAAGTTATTAACAATTGAAGTTGGATTTTGAAAAAAAAAATTAACAAAATGACAAATAATGGACAATAACTTTTGATAGAATAATGTTATCAATTAAATATTTGCGTTAGTAGATTCACAATTTAATTCTAAAGATAGTACTAAAGAAATTATTACTGTAAATTAATTAACTTGTGAGTAATCTATGAAAAATTAAACAATTTCATAATCTTTTCAATTTCTTTTCAAGAAAGTTGAAAGTGAAACTTTATTATTTAATTACTCAAAAACTAATTAAAATAAACAAATATTACTTTCATAGCTATCTTTACAATTAAATTCTTCATCATATTTTCTAAATTTTACATTGATAGAATTATTAATTAATAAGTTATAGGCAAGTAAACTTAATCAAAATAAAATATTAAATTTACTCATAACTACCATATTAAATTGAAATTAATATTAGTAAATCTTTAATTATTCGTTGATTTGATCGTAAGACTCTTGAGTTTCGTGCAGCTATGCACCACTCAGCAATAAACGCTGCAGCTGTAAACATAAATGTTTATTTCTTCGGTTTTGCTGACTTAGCGGCGCCGCGTTGCTTAAGTATGCTTTTGACCAATATAAATCCGAAATTTTAATTTAGTGTGAGTTTGCAGTTGATACTGACTGGGTCATTACTTTTTTTACTTTAAACTTTATTTAAATTATATTTGTTTTGTGAGTTGTGGCAATAGAACTTTGTGAGATCGTCAAAATCAAAGCTAAGTATATTTCGTATTATTTCTTAGAATAGTCATCGACTTTGTAGTCAAGTCACTGCTGATAAAAAGCTCTTATCAATAAAATCTTTGTATGAGTCCGTTCCGAATTTAATAGTGAATAGACTATTGAAAAAATAATAATTATTAGTTGATTCATTATCGAGTTATTAGTAAAATACTAAACAATTGTAATTTTATCATTATCCAAGTCACTTCATATTTTATTTATTTATTTATTGCTGAATTAATGGAAAACTAATAAATATAAACAATTATATACTTTTAAAATACAATTAAAATTAAATTCTTTATCGACTGGTTCAAAAATTATAGTGATCAGAGTAGTAAATCAAAAGTTATAAGCAATTAAATTTGAATTTTTAAAAAATCGATAAAAACCAACTAAAATTAAATTTTTACTTTTAATTTCTGGTTAAAAATAAACTCTTATCAATAAAATGTTAACATAAATACATTCAGAATTGAGCATTAAACAAATTTCTAAATCAACAATTAACATAATTCGATTAATTTCTACAATACCGCTATGTTTAACCAAAAAAGTAAAAACTATAATAAAATTTAAATAATTTCTTAATTTATTTGTCAATAACCAAATTATTGCGCAAAATCGATGTGGGTGTAATCACCAGAAACATAAAAAACAAACTGACTGCATAAAATTACCAATTTTAAATTATACTCTAAACTATAAATTCAAAAAACGAAATAAAATAAAATAAATAAAAATCAATGAAAAATGAAAGTTTTTCATATAAATCTCGGGCATAAATTAATAAAAATATATTAATTTAATTTATTGATTCAGAGGTGTAGAAATATTTAATATAATATATGAAATATGAAATATGACACATTATTTCATGCTAATTAACCAGCAATCAATTGACTATATTACGGATAGTTTAACTTTTATAAATTGTTAAAGAGAAACTCCAACTTTAACTCCATCGATATTAGAAACTCATCAATACTACAACTACAGTCCATTCTAACAGATTCCAACAGATAAAGCCAATAAAGGAAAATAGTTAAATCCCGGAAATGCAAACCGGAAATTAACTTGGTCACATATTAAATAAAAACAAAAATTAAACACGAGTTTAAAAATAAGTTTAAATATAAATAAATAAGTTAAAAATTAAAATTAAAGTTTTACTAACCTTAAACTATATTTTCCAGTAAATATCAAACAGGACTGATGAGAAGTGATCATGAAGTTGTTTATTTTAATATTAATCCAGTTGTAACATGATCCACCACTAATATACTAATATAATTCACTCATGATAATAATTAATTATTATTCACACTTTTAATCATTCATGTTTTTATTTATTTTTTATTTTCTTTTTTTCTTTTGATACTAATAAAACTAATAATACTAATAATAATCCATGTAAGTTTATGTAGTTTAACTTTATGTTTACATTTGTAGTTTTGTGTCTTTTTGTTTTATTTATTGCTATTTTTGTTTACGTGCAAGTAACGCGAACCAACGCGCTCGGAACGCGAACGATGACTGATCGCCGTTGATTATGTTCAATGTTCACTCGGTACTGTCGAGGAGTTGCGCGTTGCGTTGTGGGGAATCGCGAGTTGTAGTTGTAGTTGTGGTTGTTTATACGTGTTGTACATGCTGTTGGAGGGACAGAGAGACAAAGAGAATGGACGAAATTCAGGTCACATTCGCGATCGTTTTCTTCCAACTTCCAACATCAACACATACAATATTCAACTACTACTTCCACAATATATACCACTACTACTACTGCAGTGATTATTATTGCAGCTGTGAGCTTTATGAAACAGTTTATGAGTACTTCCCAATGACATTTATTTTAGTACCAGTGGATAAATTATAGTATTCAGTAGGATTTTAGTATCTAATTGTTATTTGAGGACTTACACTGCCATCTGTTGGAAATTTAGTGAATTTGGAGATAAAAATTTGTTGTGAATATGATTTGTGATAAAAATTATAGAAAATATGTTAAAGTTGGTTTAACCTGCAATAACAACGAAATTTTATTTAATAGTTCAATAATTCAAAGAATTAAATTTTTTTAAATTTTTAATATTTTTGCGAAAAATTCTCTGATTAAGTTACTTTTTTGTTGTAAATTTTCCTCTTAAACATATTTTTATTAAAAACTAGCTTTAACCCTTGGCTTCCCTCGCGAATATCTAAAATAATGAAGTTGCTTCCGTACGCGTCTGTAGTCACAGAAGAAGTAACAATGAAGTAGAATGGCGGGAAGTTTAAAATGGCTGAAAGTATAGTCTATGGAAGTATAGTGTACAGTCTCCATAGTGTAGTCTATTGGATTTGATGTTGACGTAGCTGTCGGTAATACAGTGTGATAATACAGTGTGATGGTACTATAATACTTAGGTTTGAGCTTCATTGCTGGAATGCTAGATGGCGTTAAAGTAGTCAAATAGCCAGATGCAGAGGTATTATTGGCTAAACTATTTCTTTATTTTATTTTTAAAATAATTTTTTTTATTAATTAAAAAGTAGCCTATAATCATTCGGGGACCACTGAGAATATGTGTACAAATTTTCATGAAGATCGGTTAAGTAGTTTTTGCGTGATAGTGTAACAAACATCAGGACTTTCGCATTTATAATATTAGTAGGGATTATTTTATAGTTATAGTTATAATTCAAAGAATTTCGATTTTTTTTTAAATTTTCAATATCTTTGCGAAAAATCCTCTGCTTTTCATTCTTTTTTGTTGTAAATTTTCCTCTTTAAATATACTTTTTATTAAAAATACTAGAAAATATTTTAAAAATGAATTTCTATTAAATTTTCATGATTTTGTCATAAAATTGATTTTTATATTCGAAAAAATACGTTTTTTACGTTTTCCTTAAACATTTATATAATTTACTATTATTCCGTCTTTTTACTTACTCCTAGATATGTATCACTTTATGTTTTTATTTCGAACATTTTATTATTAGCTTCCGCATTTAGTTTTAATTTAAACTTACTGAATTGAATTGGATACGAATGCAGCTCTCTAATTATTAATTGTTGAATCCAATGATTTCATGATTTCATATCCGAGTGGAGTATGTATTCTACTTGAATTATAAATCGAATGTACGTACGCTGATTCATCGGCAGATAAGCATAATGTTTCTGTAATATGGCTGGCTTGAAGTAATGAGCCAGATACACACAGCTACACAGAGCAGCAGATGCCATACTTAACTTATACATACCTATATAATAGTGTATATGTATGAAATGCTATAACTTTTAACATTTCCGAAGCGCAAGAAGCGCAAACGCCGCGAATGCTAGAAACGCTAAAAATTCAAAAGAGAAAGCACCGATATCGATGCACACAGAACGTGTATGAATAGAAGTTAGGACTTTAACTCTCTTGGTATATTCATACTCCTACATAGCTTATTTTATTAAAAAGAAGAAAAAATATATTTTAACTGTTTAGGAAGTATTTAAGTACATTTATAAGACTTAGAACTATAACTAGTAAAAAATATCACATTAATCAAGTAAAAATCAAGTAAATTGTTTAAATTTACACTGAATATGATGGTGATGTCTGATTACAAGCGGAAATCACTTCGGATATAAATAATTCCAACACCTGTAGGCTAGTATCAACATTAATCTTGTGACTTTGTATTGATTCCATCAACAATTTCAAAACACTTCGTATTGAGTCATCAGACAACCACTGTCCGAAAATATCCCTCAGTGAAGCAGCAATCGGTTCAACTAGATCTTCAATCTTCATTGACATAGCAACATGTCTGCTTTCCATCTTTGGCAGGTGTCCAATACTGTATGCAATACTCTTAATCAATTGCTGAGACAATTCCTGAAGTTTCCTGAAGTTTCTCTTCAATAACAGCCCCGTAGGTCAACAGGAATGTCTTGATAATATTCTCTTTAACTAATGGCGGATAAGTTTCTTCAATCAATTCACAAACTAAATCAACCAGTGCTTTGGTAATCGGTATAGTCGTATCAAAATCATCCAATTCTTCTTCATATTTCCCTTCTTCATGGAGTATAAAACTGTCTTCCATTTGATCATTCAGATCAATAGTCTCAACTGCTTCAAAAGCATTCTCCACCACACAGAATTGTTGTCTTTCTGAGAGGAATCTGCTCAAAACTGAAGAAAACTCAGATTCATCTGGGGATGTTTCTTCAAAGTGCCAGTTCTCATCATTATACTGCACCAGATTCAAACCTGCTAGAGTTACCACTTGACTCACACAGGTTTCTTCACTGGCGTTACCAGGGAGAGCTGTTTTGATGGTGTTCAGAGTATTCTGAAACACATTCTTCGCCCAGGCTTTGTACATTGATGGCAGGGCACCGTCAACTTCACTTAGTTCATCCACAGAACTCCCTGAAGCATCCTGAGGAGTAGGAATCAAAGACATTGGTGAAGCAGCCGGTGTATTAGCTTCAGTCTTCTGAGCTAACAACGACCTCAACTTGGCTGTGGTAGTAGCCAAGTCAGGATTATCTTCATACTCTGGTTCCGGGGAGTCTTCCACATGCACAAACTCCATTGTAGGGATATCATTCGAAGGAAGTTTCTCAATCATCGGAGACCTTTCCAGTAGAATATCCCCTTCGTAACCTGGAGTAATGACAACTTCTTTTTCTTTAACCTCCCTGATTTTGATCTCATGTAATGGATTCATGTAGATATTTTCAAAGGATTCTTCAATGTCTGAATTCACATGACTCAGTTTAGTTAGTCTGGTGTCTCTTCTATTGGTACTCTGAGGAATGTCTTTGGATTGTGACTTCGGGCGTGCTTCAATTGTACTATCCTGTAGACCTGTTAATCTGAGACCCTTTCGGATACCTATGCCCAGGTCAAGAATACCTTCTTCTATTTTATGCATGGCATTAGTTGTTGATTGTTGGAGGTCTTTCATTGTATCCTTCACAGTTACTTTCTTCTTTGATGATGAGAAATCTTCAGCTAATTGGGTCCAATCTGGTTTTGTGTCTTCTTCTATGTTAGAAAGGAACAGGATATCTTGTCCGAGGGATATACAGTCTAAATCACTCGAATGACGCCATGTTTTGTTTGAAGATTTGGATTCGTAGACTTTTACTTCATCTTTCACCTCGGGTTTCTCTACTTTTACAGTTTCTTCAGTTATTTCTTCTTTGGGAATCACTTTGGTTTCTTCTTCTTTGGGGGATTCAATATCTTCAATATCTTCAATGGGTTGGTTCTTAACCTCTTTATGATCAACATTACTTATAGAAACAACTTGATATTTGTTCACATATTTCACTTTCTTCTTTTCTTCATCAAAAACAATCAAAATGTTGAAATTTATATACCCAGGTGAAAATAACGTGTGCACCATATGACTTATCAACTTTTTAGCCAGAAAAACATTCAGAAATCTTGAAATACTGCCATGTTTTATTTAAAAAAGTTGATTTATAAACATTATCTTCATTTTTATCTTCAATTTTCTCTATTTTTACAGTTTCTTCATTTTAACTTCTTCAATACCAATTTTATCATAAATAAATTTACTGAGAAGAATCTTCAATATACATCAAATCTATTCCTAGAAACAACCACTTCAAAATCTTCAATTTCTTCTTTTCAATTCTTCACTTAAATCACCCAGCTCCATCTATGTTCAAGCTCCCTAAATTTATCCAGCGCTCCAATCGGTAGTCAGTAGTTAGTAAAGTCGCAAACTCATGATAACCCCAAACCTAAATCAATACCCAACAATATGTATACCAAAACACCTTAAAACGTTCTTAATCTTCATAAAAATGAACCAATTAATGCAAAAGTTAAGTGTAACGTGCATCAGCATCATCACAACCATCCTCCTCCTGGACTATAACTACACCCTACTCAACTTCAACACAATCTTCACTCTCCTCTACGTAATAATCATCTTCTTCACATCAATATGGACCACATTCATGTGTCTCCAAAACATCCTCAGCACCAACACTCCATTCAAAACCAAATCAAATCAACTCCTTTCTCTCCTCCACTCTCCATTGAATAATATATCAATAAACCTTTTAAAAAACAAGTCAAAAGAACCAATTGATGACAGAATCAAAGACTTCATCCAGGATATCGAACAAAATTTCATCAAGAAATGGTATTCAAGTTACATAAGCACAAATGAAGAATTCCTCATAGAAAGCAGTAAATTATTGGATATAATAATCAGGAGGTTCCTTCAAATTGCTGGACAGATTAATTCTGAGAAGGTTTTACATGGAACTGTTACAATTCTACTGAGGCATGTTAAGGAATATAAAAAAGCAGTGAAGAAAGCTAAGAACGATGGAAGTGTTGAATCACACTACAGATATGGACATTTGGGATCAAAGAGTGAGAAATGTTTTGAACATTTTGCTCTTCAGATCACTTCTAAGACTTTGAGGCATTTTATTCATTGGGAGTTGTATAATTCAGTAGCATGCAGATGTCTGAATGCTATCCTGGCTAAAAAGTTGATCAGTCATATGGTGCATACGTTATCTTCACCTGGGTTTATTAATTTCAACATTTTGATTGTTTTTGATGATGAAAAGAAGAAAGTGCAATATGTGGATAAATACCAAGCTGTTTCTATAAGTAATGTTGATCATAAAGAGGTAAAGAACCAACCCATTGAAGATATTGAAGATATTGAACCTCCCAAAGAAGAAGAAACTACCAAAGTGATTCCCAAAGAAGAAATAAGTGAAGAAACTGTAAAAGTAGAGAAACCCGAGGTAAAAGATGAAGTAAAAGTCTACGAATCCAAATCTTCAAATAAAACATGGCGTCATTCGAGTGATTTAGACTGTATATCCCTCGGACAAGATATCCTGTTTCTTTCTAATATAGAAGAAGACACAAAACCAGATTGGACCCAACTAGCTGAAGATTTCTCATCATCAAAGAAGAAAGTAACTGTGAAGGATACAATGAAAGACCTGCAACAATCCACGACTAATGCCATGCATAAAATAGAAGAAGGTATTCTTGACCTGGGGATAGGTATCCGAAAGGGTCTCAGATTAACAGGTCTACAGGATAGTACAATTGAAGCACGCCCGAAGTCACAATCCAAAGACATTCCTCAGAGTACCAATAGAAGAGACACCAGACTAACTAAACTGAGTCATGTGAATTCAGACATTGAAGAATCCTTCGAAGATATCTACATGAATCCATTACATGAGATCAAAATCAGGGAGGTTAAAGAAGAAGAAGTTGTCATCACTCCAGGTTATGAAGGGGATATTCTATTGGAAAGGTCTCCGATGATTGAGAAACTTCCTTCGAATGATATCCCTACAATGGAGTTTGTACATGTGGAAGACTCCCCGGAACCAGAGTATGAAGATAATCCTGATTTGGCTACTACCACAGCCAAGTTGAGGTCGTTGTTAGCTCAGAAGACTGAAGCTAATACACCGGCTGCTTCACCAATGTCCTTGATTCCTACTCCGCAGGATGCTTCAGGGAGTTCTGTGGATGAACTAAGTGAAGTTGACGGTGCCCTGCCATCAATGTACAAAGCCTGGGCGAAGAATGTCTTTCAGAATACTCTGAACACCATCAAAACAGCTCTCCCTGGTAACGCCAGTGAAGAAACCTGTGTGAGTCAAGTGGTAACTCTGGCAGGTTTGAATCTGGTGCAGTATAATGATGAGAACTGGCACTTTGAAGAAACATCCCCGGATGAATCTGAGTTTTCTTCAGTTTTAGGCAGATTCCTCTCGGAAAGACAACAATTCTGTGTGGTGGAGAATGCTTTTGAAGCAGTTGAGACTATTGATCTGAATGATCAAATGGAAGGTAGTTTTATACTCCATGAAGAAGGGAAGTATGAAGAAGAATTGGATGATTTTGATACGACTATACCGATTACCAAAGCACTGGTTGATTTAGTTTGTGAATTGATTGAAGAAACTTATCCGCCATTAGTTAAAGAGAATATTATCAAGACATTCCTGTTGACCTACGGGGCTGTTGTTGAAGAGAAACTTCAGGAATTGTCTCAGCAATTGATTAAGAGTATTGCATACAGTATTGGACACCTGCCAAAAATGGAAAGCAGACATGTTGCTATGTCAATGAAGATTGAAGATCTAGTTGAACCGATTGCTGCTTCACTGAGGGATATTTTCGGACAGTGGTTGGCTGATGACTCAATACGAAGTGTTTTGAGATTATTGATGGAATCAATACAAAGTCACAAGATTAATGTTGATACAAGTCTACAGGTGTTGGAATTATTTATATCCGAAGTGATTTCTGCTTGTAATCAGACATCACCGACATATTCAGTGTAAAAAGAATTTTACTTGATTTTTAGCTTAATTAATGTGATATTTTTGACTAGTTAATGTTCTAAGTCTTATAAATATGTTTATATGTTTAATAAACATTTAATTTATGTTAAATAATGTTTTTTTCTTGTAGAACTCACCTGAAACACGTTAAAACCGTTAAAAATGAAAAAAGTGAAAGTATGATGTAGCACTGTATATTGGGTTGCCTATAGTCAACCTCTAAAACTACATTAAATATCCGCGAAATTCAAACTTCCAACACAATATTCCCCCTAAAAACTCATTTCCACACATTCTCAACATTCCAATATCTTCCAAAGCACTCAAGGATTCCTCTCCTTTACCGAATTACGTAATTTTCCCTACCTGGCTCCCGTAAAGCGAATAAAAGCAGTCTTTAAGTGGTTAGGTAGCGATGTTCAATCAACGTCGCTCATTCATCGACATTCGGGGGCGGCGAGGGGCGGCGCAGTGAATTCGCGGCTGAATTCTCTCGAGACAAACGCCTTCACGATCGTTTAACCAGCCGCACGCTCTGTTGACCCGTCGCTATAATTGCACACGTTGTCCTCGTCTTTAGCTTTTCGGAGCATTCCGGCGGGTAATGAGGGGCGGCATGGGGTAAATCAGGTTGAGTGAGTATGCAAGGAGCGGTTTAATTTGCTAACCGACAAACTAGTACCTGGGAATTCACCAAAGTATTAAATTTATCATTTTATAGAAAGAAAATTGATGAAATGTGTTTTTAACCTCAAAAAATGACATATGACATCAATGGGCGGAGCATAAATTCATAAAATAATGAATATCTTCTAAAATATTTTAAATTTTAACAAAATTCTTTCACTAAACAACTTAGAATACTCTTTGGAGCACATTTACGATGACAAATAAAAATTAAAACAATTTGTTGTCATTTGTACTGTAAACTACTGCACTTAAGTTTTCGCCGTAAAAAATACGTAAGTAAACGTTGAAATCGCCGAGTGTATCTCGTTGGTTCGAAAAATTATGTGTCCCAATTACGGCGTGTGTACTGTGTGTACTGCCGTAATGGCCGTAATGGCCGCGCGCAGGCCGCAATGGTCGTTACGGCGATAATTAAAAAACGAACGAAACCGTTGCGGCACTCCACGTACTTACACTCGAGGTACGAGTAGAAATTCTAAGTTCTAAGGCACCGTTAGCGCGCGGAATATTTAATGTCTTGCTTTAAATATCAGCGCTAATAAACATCAAATAATAACTTCTTAAGACACTGCATTAAATGCCAGACGTGAGAAACTTTTTGTTTGAGGTGTACGGAAAGGAGTAAAGTAGTTATTATTATGGTGGGTTTTAATTATATAACGCTAGACTGGATAATATGTATTTAGTATTTTTATTATTTAGAAATAAATAGAAATTTAAAAAAGCAAATTTGTGTTTAATCCAAAATTAATAGTATTAGTTATTAATAAAAGTAGATAGAATTAATATATGTTGTATGGTAATAATTGAGGAACATATCAGTGAAAGAATTGTTTAAAAATTTTGATTAGTTTTAAAGTTATTACACATTTTCTGAATTGGTATTTTAATACCATTTATTATTATCAAAAGAAGATAATATTAATATATGTTGTAGTGTAGATATCTAGGAACACAACAGTTAAAGAATTTTTCAAAAATGTTGATTAGATCAAAAGATATAGCGATTTTTGTGAGATAAGTAAAAATGTCTTTATTTCAACGTAGATTTAAGTATGTTAAAAGTACGCATGCGTGAGTTACTTATTCCATTCTCTTTCTCAACCACTCTCACATAATCTCTAATACGTATTCTATACTTTTCTTTCTCTTTTTATGTTTCTTTCATTCCCAAAGTTAGTCAACTCCATTGTATTCTCTTTTTTCTCTTTTCAACTTATTATAAATCCAATCTTCTTTCTTTTTCTCCAATCGGTCATTCCTTCATTCTCCCCTTCTTCTATTCTTGCATATATTATTTTCCTCGCTCACCATCACACCCTTTCAAATGACTCATTCTTATCCCCTTTCAAATCACATCTTTTTTCTCCTTTCACTTTATTCATTCCTCATTTTGATTCTTTTTCTATTCAACATTATCGCCATCTACATGATTCGACCATAATTAAACTTTCAACCTGAATTTTGCTGATACTATACATTAAATAACCTCCAAACTAGATCATAAAGTTAATAATAATCGTGTTGTGGTAGACCAGTGACCAGTAACTCTCAATACACGTTATCATCAATCTATTGACACACAAATTCTTGTGTTTAAAATACATCGTAGTTCATGAAGCAACAATGCACCCCTCACACTGTATGCAACCAACCGTACAATGCGATACCAATATATGCAACCAAACACACATCACACACTACCAGTGAGTCTAAAACTAAAACTAAAACACATGTATCATCTTGATTGTCACACGCAGTATATTTTATAGAGAGGTGGAATTCGAATGCGCTTCTCGCTTCGCGTCGCGTCCGCGCGTTCATTCTCCGCGCAACCGTCGTGCCGCGCTCACGTCCTCCCACTCTACCTCTCCGCCAACGCGCGTTATCGCCAGCTACGTACACCTGCAAACAAACACCTGAGCTGTGACTCAAACTCAAATCCCCTTCCACTTCACTTCTACCTTTTCTCACCGTGCGGTTGAAAACCGGTATTTCTTATTCTTATTTGTGCTTGCAGCTAACGCAAGTTGCACAGGTAACAAACTGAAGACTAAAGTGAATATTGTTCTTGCATCAAAATGCGCGCGATAATATAATATTATTCCACACAAGTTCGGGAAAAGTGCGTCAGCGTCGTTTTGTTGATGTGAGTGAATTGAGTGATTAATTATTGTGCAGCGGTGTTATCGGTGTATTGATACGATACTGAGTGTGTGATTGGGATTACTTTTTGACTTTCGTGTGTCGTGATACATTGTGAGAGGCATTATGGAGGTTATTTGGAGTTTTGTACTTTTCGGATTTTTATTCATACAAGGTAAGTTTTTTTTTGGGAAAAATTTAATTTTGGAAAAAATATTGTGGGTTTTTAAAGTGTTGTAAGTTTGGTTGAGATAAGCGTAGAGGATTAAGTTTGGTATCGTTGGAAAGGTAATTTAATGCAGTATTATCATGAGAAAGGAATTTTGTTTGAGTTTGGTGGTTTTAAAATGGCGGATGTTTGAATAAAATGTTGCAAATTTTTGCAAAATTTTAGAAAAACATCAATAATTCAGAAACTATTGATGATAAGAGGTAGAATTTTATTTTAAATTATAGATATTAATTAGCTTTATATGATGGATTTCGAAAGAATATACAGAGTATTTAAATTTGTCTGTAGTTTAAAAAAATATGAAAATTTTAAACTCAATTTTTCTTTAAAAGTTATTCAAGTTTAATGTTTTATTACTCGGGTAATAAACATTGTAGAAACTTGTGAATGACAGCACTAAAAAGAGAATGTAATGTAGTTTTATCACTGTAAAGTACAAATATGTATCTTTTACGATTACAAAATGGTGGCGACTTGAATGTCCGTATGCAATTTTTATCGAAAAAAACAATGCTCAATTTTGAAGTAATATAACTTTGTTAATAATAATCTCAGAGAATTATACAAAATCTTGATTGATAAAATAACTAATTCAGATTATATATGCAAAAGATAAATTATTTATCTTTATTAGTTTGTCCATGACAAGCATTTGAAAAAAGTTTGACAAAACCACTAAAAATTTCAAAATTTCAAAAAATATAAAATCTTCAATATCTCCAAAACTATAACAGATATTCCACTGATTTTTTTCTCACGTATACATTTTAATACCTACTTTAACATAACCTATACATAATCTAATTATTTATTATAATCTATACGTAATTCGTTCTCAAACATGTGGAAATATAGTTAGTAGCAATTAATTGTTATTTCACCTGCTTGTTTCACCTGTTTCGCCATCACCTTATACGCTCAGACACCTATACACACGTTAAAAACAAAAAAGGTAAACGCACTACCTGGTTAGTGTGTGTGGGTACACATAATATGTGTAAAAAAGAGCGATTGAAAAAGCAGTCGAGCCCGACGCGATGTAATCGCCATCCACTTCCTTTTATTTGTTGCTGGCAATAATTTACCATTTGCCGGAATTCTACACGCATAGTATAAAAGTACAGGGACTACTTCACTACCGGCAAGTGTTGCAGTGTTGCTAAAGTTGTTTGTTTACGCAATATGCGGCAAAAATCAAGTTTCTAGTACAATACGGAGTGGAATTTTTTGAAATATTTTTAGTTTCATGTTTAAATGCTTGAAAAATGGTTTAAACATAAATATTTGAAAGGTTTTTATGTAATGGTTGATAAAGAATGTATTTGGATATATTTTGGTGAAAATAAAAGTTTATTTTGTTGGGTATTTTAAAAGTTATAAACAATTTAGTGAGACATTGATTTTTTTATGTTTTTAATGCAGTGTTTTACTAAAAGTTATTTTTGAAGGTTATAAACAATAAAATTTGACAGTTTATATTTTTTTCATGAAAGCCTATTTGTTTAGTTAGGTGATAGTAAAAAAATAATTTAAAAATATTAATTATTCAATGAGTTATAATTTTTTAAAGTTGACGAATTTTATTCAATTTTTTTTTACTACTTCAAAACGAACCAAAAGTTTAAATTGTTATAAATCACATAATTATTACGAGTTTTGCACATATGGTAGCATTTTCTGATAGATAATTTAATAAACTTTATATTACAGCAAATTTCAGTTTAAAATATTAATTAGTTTGTTCATAATTATCATTTTTATAACAATTTTCATTTTTGTTACTTTTTTTGCTCAAAACTTTTAATTAATCGTTTTGATGTCTATCAATTGACTGGATTGTCCTCAGTAGATAATAAATTATTAAACAGGAAGCAATTGCACCTGTAACTTCATTTCTACTTCTATTTGTGCGGCGTTTTTACCTGCAAAACAAGTAATGGAGGAAACGAGGAAGTGATAAGTTGGATGCGATTTGTTTTGTCCTATTTCGAATAGTTTCCACATCTTATTGCATCGAATCGTAGTGTTAATGAACTTTACTGGCACA